TTTACAGCAAATTCACATACCTGATGCAGAAAGAATTACAAGACTATGAATCAGAAAAACATGATTAACATCTAGGAAAACAGAGTATCAAACCTGGAATGAGCACCTTTGTTGAAAAATGACAACCATGAAAGATGAGGCACATGAAAAACAACATGATCCTCGAGCAGCTAATGTGATGGAAGGGAAGATGATATAGGCGGCAACACTCTCTTCAAAGCAGTGAATTCAATCGAAAGGACACTAACCCGGAAATCTGAATGCGAATGCAGTGGACAGAAATTCAGCCACACCAAGCCCTTCCGACTATTGGAAATTATTTGCCTTACTTGAAATGATCTTGCCGTATTATTGCCACAAATTCAGGATGTAAATCATTGTCTTTCTGCTTCCATATCTCACCATTGTCAGGAATTAGAGACTTACTGGTGACCATTCCAATCCACCAAAGTGGCTCACGTAGATAACCATAGCCTCCGGTACCTGAATTAATGAGCAAATCAGGCACCAAAGAAGTCGTACATCAAACATTTTTAAATTGCTTCAATATGTACAACTTACAGATGAATATGCACACATCCAACGTGTATCAATTGAAGTTGCAAGAAATAAATAAATAAACAACAAATGAAGATCAAATGTGTCATTTTCTACTCTATTTCAACTATCACTGCATAATACGGCAGAAACTGTTCCATGATGGGGCTTGATCGTAACACATATTCCTCTAAAAATATGTTGACATTCTACACATCTAAAACTCTGGTTTTCGTGTAGTTATTAATGATCTATCAACTTCAAGCGACAAGCAGTCAATTGTCACTCTATAATCTCCACTCCTTGCCAAAGGGCTTCTAAAAAGCAGAATCACTTTGAATACTTCACAGTCTAAATTTGGCATTATAGCTTCCTAAAATGCAGACCACCTTTACTACAATGTATTAACTCCAGTTGACTTAACAGTTAACAATGCCCACCCTTATTTTCCGACAGCAGCATACACACACAAAATCTTAAAATAAAGTTTCAAAATTATAGTCAAATGTACTTAAGCTAAGAATTAAAAACAGCTGAGCAACAGACCAAGCAAGTGTAATAGTCAGAAAATTAACATAAATTCATATGAAGAAAGTGTACTTACTAGCTCGAGAGCCGGAGGCGCCGGCTCTCTGGAGTCCTTTCTTCTTGATGATGAAGCTAGATCCAATGAAGGCGCTGGACGCCACGGCCAACACAAAACCTATGAAATTTGCTCTGTACATATCCAGCAGATCACTTTTCTAGGGTTTTATTCTACTACTACTACCAAAATTCAACTCTCACCTGAACCCTCCTCCAAACATAGAATTTCAAAGCTTCGTTCCGGGCAGTGTATATGAGACGTGTGTATAAACTTAATGAATAAGAAAAATGAGAACACAGTTACGGGTAGTGTCAAAATGACATGTCAGTGTGTGAGTGTATATGGTTGGATTTCACAAGTCTAATTAAGACACATAAAATGACACTAAATTCCTTTTTTCTTTTTTATTGAGTTGAGAATTATCATCAATAAAAATAAAATTAGCTTCTTTATCTAATGTAATAACTATAATAGGATAAGTGTAGTGCTTGTTAGCTTCTTCTTTTTTGGAAGAAACATCTTAATTCATTAAATCAGTAGCAAGAATCTGACCAAGATATGGTGGTGGCACATCAAACCACTCACCGCAACCTGACTCGGAAACGGCTGCCTTAGCTAATGCATTGGCCGGACAGTTCGCAGATGGCTTTACAAAACCAAAGCGCACCCCATTTATCAAAGAGGCGGCATATCTAACATCATCTATCAAGAAACCAAAAGCAGAAAAACAAGAATCAGAAAGAATAGCATGGTAACACAATTGGGAATCAGTCTCAACCTCCACCTCCCCCATACCCGTGCCACATAGCCAGTATAGCGCCTCTCTTATAGCCGTAGCCTCAACCTCAGCCACCGTGTGTCGACCAGGTAATTGCACACACAGCACATGCCGCCAAAAACTGGCCTTGATCACTACGTAGAATCCACCCAATGCCCATTACATTTCGGACCGTATCAAAAACTGCATCCGTGTTCAGCTTCATTCTCCCCACCGGTTCAGCTTCATTCTCCCCACCGGTGGTAACTGCCATCTACACTCTGCATGGGATTCGGCCACAGTGGGAAGCTGCTTTGTGCTTGCATGATGCCAATTCTCCCAATAGGCAATCGTTTTCTGCTGCATAACTGGTCGATTAAAGGCCGCCCCCTTCCATACCGTTTCATTCCTGCTATTCCAAATTCCCCATGTCAGCATGGCAAACTTGCTTTTCTTCTCATCCTTCAGCAACTCCAACTTCTCAAAAAACCACTCCTCACAACTTCCATAATCCTGTGGAGAAGGTGGCAATTGCGCAGCTGCCCAGACTGCTTGCGCTTATACACAATCTCGAAAAAGATGGATGGATGTCTCCTCTTCCGCATCGCACATATGACAAGTAATATTACAAGTCACACGCTTAGTCAACAGGGCATCTCTTGTTGGCAAGATGGTCGACGCAAGCTGCCAACAAAAAACACGCACATTTGGAGGAACCTGCAAATTCCAAATCAAGTGCCATGGTTTATTAACCACCAATTCACCAACTAGCTTCCGATAACAAGATTTCACAGAATAATGCCCTTTTGACTCCCCACTCCACACCCACTGATCACTAGGTAAACGACAACTTACTGGAATGTTTAGAATACAGGTTGCATCTCTATCATCAAACACATCACGTATGCAACCCACATCCCAGCCGGGCCTCTCCACTTGCATCAATGCACTCACAGGTGCATTCATAATTGAAGGATCCAACGCAGTTCGAACATAAGGGTCCTCAGCCGTTACAAGCCAAGGATCTGGCCCAATGATTGTGTTTCGGCCATCACCAATACTCCGTCGTGCCCACTTACGAATAACATTCTTTGCCTCCAAAATTCCGCGCCATACATATGATGGATTAAACCCAGGTTCTGCATCAAAAAAAGTTGTGTGAGGATAATACCTGCTCTTATAGACTCGAGTAACCAAAGAATCAGGCCTTGTTAACAGGCGCCATGCCTGTTTACCCAACAAAGCCAAGTTCATCTCGCACAATCGCCTAAACCCCAAACCCCCCTTGGCTTTCGGCGTACTCAAAGCCAAGATCTCCACCTTATGCCCCCTGCGACTGTTACGGAGCCAGACCACCAATAATGATTTAGCAGCACCTCAATCTCTTTACATAAACTGATAGGCAACTCAAAGACCATCATTGAATAACAAGGTAATGCCTGCAACACATTTTTCAGCAGCACCTCCCGGCCAGCCCTGGAAAGAAACTTGGAATTCCAACTTCTTACACGAGTTAGTATTCGCTCCTTCAAAAACCCGAGTATTGCCCTCTTATTCCGCCCAACAAGCGAGGGTAGCCCAAGATATCGGCCCGCTGTGTCACCCTGCGCAACCCCCAGTATATTAATCACATTATTCCTGTCATTCTGCGCAACATTTGTACTAAAACACAACACAGACTTATCATAATTTATTAATTGACCAGAAGCCTGAGCATACAAATTTAGTACCTCCCTCATTCGGTTGCTTTCATCCGTGGTAACTCGCATAAAGAGAAAGCAGTCATCCGCGAATAAAAGATGAGATATTGGCGGTGCTCTCCTCGCAACACAAAGCCCATGCAATAAACCCCTTCTCGTTCGATCCTCTATTAGAGCACTTAATCCCTCAGCCACCATAAGAAACAAGTACGGCGAGAGCGGATCACCCTGCCTCAGTCCCCGTCCCGGCACAATGGGTCCTAACCAACGTTGCTCATGTATTATATGATATTTCACGCAACTCACAGTCTCCATTATAATATTAACCCACTTCTTACTGAAACCCAACTTCAACATGACCGACCTCAGAAACCGCCACTCAACCCTGTCATACGCTTTACTCATATCGACCTTCAAAGCTGCCACCCCAACCCTCCCCTGTGTTTTCTTCTTTAAATAATGGTGCGCCTCATAGGCCAACATTATATTATTTGTAATGAGCCGGCCAGGCACAAAAGCACTCTATGCCCCAGAGATCAATCTATCAAGCAAAGGCTTCGAACGGTTCGCACATACCTTAGCTGCTATTTTATAGAGGACATTGCATAGTGCAATGGGCCTCAAATCTTTCATAGTCTCTGGCACTGGCTTCTTCGGGATCAACACAATTAATGTATCATTAGCCTTGGTCGGCAACACCGCTGTCTCAATAAACTGTCTACAAAATTTCGTCACCTCCCCTCCAACCGTTGTCCAAAAAAACTGATAAAACCCGGGTCCAAAGCCATCAGGCCCAGGTGATTTATCAAGATGCATTGCCAACACAGCTCGATGAACCTCCTCCATACTCACAGGTCTTACCGCTTGTTAGCTAAATAACTGATTTGTCAAAATTTTAATAACTCCATCATTTTATTGATTTATAGGGGTAGTATCTGTTCTATGTTAGGGTTCGATCTTGAGATATTTTCTTAAGGAGAGGGACAGAAGTACCACAAGGTGCTTGGCTTGTTTGCTTATTCAATTTATTAACGAATCCGTTGAAAATTAAAAGACGGTAATTTATAGTGTTTCAATTTGACGTTTTAGAAAAAAGATTAAATATAATATTTTCACAAAATACCTTTATAATAACAATAAACAAATATATTTTGAAGATAATAAACTATATACTCCTCAAAGTATACCTTTATAAGATTTTACACAGTGAGCAAAATTCTAGCCTTTGTAGTTCATGTTCGATTGAGTTACCATGATTTACATCTTCTTAAATGCTTGTCGGGTCGGAGTATAGGACCTTAGGGTTGGGGTTCAGGCGTTCAGCCTTTTGGAAGAATAAGATTATTTTACACTAATTTAAACGGTCAATACTATCAAACATATTTTCATAAACATTGTTACAATTCCCTGGTCAAACTCAATAATAAAATCAACTATCCCCATTGCCTAGGAGAGGTTGATATGTTTGACTTGTTGAGCTCCAAAAATGGACTCCAGAGAAATAGAGGATGGGACATGAACCGTGGCTGAGAAATAAGCCTCACACACATCAACTCTTCTCACACTCTTCCTCTCTGGGTGATAGGAGAACAAGATATCGTCCCAGAACAAGAACAGAATCTCCCCGTCTTTGAAACCCTTCACTAAATGGATCATCTCATACAACATCCACTCTTCCGAAGCAATACTCATTTCTTTAGTCCACGAATCACCATTTCCGTATTCCTTCATCACCCATATGTCCAGGCTGGTGTGCGCCGTGTTGTCGCACAAACACAAACAGTTTCCGAGCACCCCGATGCTCCTCCGGATCCAGTCAGTCTCCGGCACCACCGGAGTAGGAGGAGCCGACGGAAACGTTTGGATCGTCTCGCTTTCGAGGTCGAAAGAGCAGATAAGTTCATCGCCATTTGCATCGCCGACGAGCCAGTGGAGTTTTCCGTCGAGACTTTGACCGAACTCCCGGCAACCGAAGCCGCAGTTGATGCTGCCGGCGCTCCTCCACGATCCGGCCCCTCCTAGAGTGTAAACTTGAAGATCGGACTTGTAATAAGAAGATGGATTGTGATCATCAAGGATTTGCTCCTGATAAATCCTCACAACCTTGAAGGTGTTTGTTAATGGAGTCACTCCAAACCCGTACGCGACTAGATTCGGGTACACCCTCTCGCCGTGGGCCTTGGGGAGCTTGACGTATTCTCGAGTTGTGGGGTTGCATATGTACACGGAATCTAAGTCGCTTCGAGAGAATGAATTCAAGCAAACCAAACCTTTGGCCGAGCCGACCACGCATAGTTCGGGTTCGGGAAAGGCGGGCTGGAGATGAAGGTCGTTTTGGGGATGGTGGTGAAAGGCGTGGCGGTCTGGGTGGTCATCCAGATTCACGAATTTCAAAGTGTTTACAGATTTATTCCAGTTGGAAGCTAGATGCTCATGGTAAAGTAGTAGGCAAGCTGGGGAGGAAGAGGGTGTTTGGTGGTCGCTCATTATATATATATTTTTCTAATGGCTTCTGGGCTGAATAAGGAAAATAATATTCCTACTCAAATTCTACTTCCAACTTTTACTGAATAAGGAGTATACTGAATAATGGTTTGAGAGGTGATTGTATGTGGTTGGTATTTATACAGGCAGAAGAGAAGAACTGGTCGCCCAGTATTTAGAGACATTTCTTTTGGTTGATTTTTCGACACGACCGACAAGGGCTTCCATCATATCCGGTGTTGAAATTTTCTATTGGTTGATTTATCGACCAATAGTTTTGCTGTGGAACCGTGATTACTGTTCACCATACGTATGGTGAACACGGGATAGATCTATAATTTATAAGCTGTAGATTCATAATTATTGTACTGTAAATTCATAATATCTGTACCGCGAAGACGAAATAATGCGATAGCGAAGAGAGAAACATCGTTAACAACAAATGAAAAACAAAATTATAAATCTATAGCATAGAAATTATGAATATGCCTTTATGTTCACCATGTGCATGGTAAACAGGTTTCCAGAACATAATTTGAGTTTATCGACACGACCAACGAAGGCTTCCCTCATATCCCGTGCTGAAATTTTGATTCTTTTACATGGTGGCATTTAGCATTCTCTATAGTGGTTTTTTTTTTTTTTTTTTTTTTTTTTTTTGAAGAGTTTTGATAGGTGTGATTAAAAAATAGAAAAATAAGAGAAAGAGATTTAAAAAAAAAAAAACCACAGTTGAGACCAAAAGCCTGATTCTCCTGCAAGAAGTTATCTTCTTCTATCACTTTCTTCTTTCACTTCTACCTAAGAGAAATAAACTTAAAAAACCAATAGGAAACTTGTCATTAGGCTTAGCCCATCTCGTTTCACAAAAATGTAATTGTTTTAATTATAAATCTAGCAATATAGTTATAATTAGAAAAATTATATTTTAAAAGTTTCCTAAATACATATTAATAAATATTATGTACGAAATTATACAATTAATTATATTCAATTATGGTCTAAATCTACTCATACAAAATTTAAGATTATAATTCTCTTAATTATTATTATTCAAATATATAAAAAATCTAATTATATTATTATATTGTATATTTTAAATATATTTTGTTTTTTAATTGTAGCTAATTAGAATAAATTCGACAACTAAACTCTATAGAAAAATTAAGGAAAAAAAACTACAAAGTATTGAGATAATACGGAAGTAGAAGAATTGAAAAAGAAAAAAAAAATTGCAAAAGATCGGGATAATAAGAATAATTAATCTATAATTCAATAAAATTCTTAATAACACGAGTGATAATGTGTAAACATAAATAATTCTATTTGATTCTAACACTAATACAAACTAAATCTATAATACTAATACATATATCTATAATTCTAAATAACGAATTTACATTTGTGAATTGTGATAGTCATATCAATAAAACTCAATACTTGTTTCAACGAAGGAAATGTTGGAACCAGTGGGCCGACATCTTAGGATATCTCGTTCTCTCGAGTGTGCTGAAATCAATATACACAATTCCAAACCTTGAAGTGTATCCCAATCTCCATTCAAAGTTGTCCACCAATGACCATGCAAAGTACCCAAACAAGTTGGCTCCTTCATCCACTGTCCTCTTCACTTCACCTAAATAGCTATTGTAGTAACTGATTCTTTTTGTGTCGTTCAATGATTCAGCTAAGGTGAGATTGCCAACATAATCCATCCCTACAGTAAACCCAGAAATTTTAATGCCAATTCCAAAACCATGATTAAATATGATATATATATAGGTTTGCATTCAGAGTTTGAATCTTACCATTTTCAGCAATAAACATACGAGGATTGCCGTATTGTTCTTTTACATAGGTTACTGCCTTGTACAATCCCCATGGCACCATGTACAGCCAGTCTGAATTTGCCTATAAACATTAACCACAAAAGAATTTAGATAAGAAAAAACCATGAAAAAAAGAAGCAAAGAATTGCAAAATCTTGCAACTAACGCACCCTTGGACCAATTGGCACTCCATTGCGGTCATCTGCATAAATGAATGAAAGCCCCAAAGAATCAAATACTATTCAGCAAGAAATAAGTAGTGACAGGGAAATAGAGATGAAAGGGGGCTAATTATCTTACAAGCAAATACAGCGTTCCAATCATTCTGATAGTCAATGGTGCTTGATGTGTTTGGAGAAGGGTCATATACGTAATAACTAGTATACTGGTTTATACCAACATAATCAAATGATCCTTTCACCATCTTAACCTCGTCATGTGTGAACTTGGGAAGCCTATCCCCAACGATTTTCTGCATAGTTTTTGGATATTCTCCGTACACTATAGGATGTAGAAACCTGTTTGGATAATACATAGAAGTTAAATTATTGAAAACACTACATATTCATACATATATCTTAACTATCTGGCCTGGTATTGAGATTATTACCATCCAATATGAAAGTCCCTGGCTCTCTGAGCTGCATGCTCATCTGCCTCTGTGAGAGGTTCATACCATACAAAATCCAAGAGAATGCCAAAGCTTCCATTCTGTTTACCCTGAAAATAAACTCTCAACACTTGCTCGATCTCATTATCCCTAAGGCAAAAAGAGAAAACACAACAAAAGAAGCCTTGGCCTGTCTCACCTGATACTTAGTATGGTATCTTTTAGCAGCTGCAGCATGGCATAGAATCAGATTGTGTGCAACGGTGTAAGGCTCAGTTGCAGAGTTCCCCTCAGTGCAGTTGGAACACCTCCCCGGGGCAAAAAATCCAGTGTCGTACCCCAAAGCTGCTACCACCCTGGGTTCATTGAATGAAAACCAGTTCTTCACTCGATCTCCAAATGTTTTGAAGCAGAATTCTGCATAATTAGCAAAATCCTCCCTGCCAAATTAAACTCCAATGCATCAGGACAAAAAGTACAATGTGTAACATTAAAGCCACAAAAACATCATATATGCATGCTACAACTGTGATGCTTCATCAAGAACTTACACGACTTGGCGGCCCAACCATCCTCCATACCTATCATGAAGTGCTTGAGGAAGATCATAATGGTTAAGACATGCATATGGAGTAATGCCTGCAGAGCAGAGCAGTCAGATTTAAGAAGCTCAAATTCAGCGGTACAGTTAAACACAGATCAACTATTCAGTAGTGTACGTTTTTCTTGAGAAATTACCAACCTTTTTTCAGCATGTAATTGATCAGCCTGTTATAGTAGTCAACTCCTTTCCAATTTACCTTGCCAGTTCCATCTATAATAATAATCAAATATTAATGAATGAGTGGTTGGTTATGTATGCAAATTACATTACATACACAAATGCATATATATTGGTTAAAAATTAAATTGTAAAGAACATACTTGGGAATATCCTGGTCCATGAGATTGAGAAACGGTAGGCATCAAAGTTCAGCTTCACCAGCAGATCGATATCTTCCTGTGTCCATACAATAATAATAATAATAATAATATAAAAGCTTAAGAACTGACGACAGAATACTTTTGAAACAAGGAAATCAAAAATAAAACTTATTATCCGTCATAAGTACTTTGTAGTGATGGTACTGGTCCACAGCCACATCTCCAGTGGCATTATTAGGCTCAAGTCCTGTACAAAATCAAATCACATGCTTTAGTTTCATTGAAATTACTACAATCTAATCAGAAATCAATAAATTGCATTAATAAAAACAGATCAGATCAGAGAACAAATTAAAGAATGTACTGTATTTATTACCAGGAGTTTTAATGAAGCTGTCCCAAATACTAGGTCCACGACCATACTTATGAACGTCAGTGGCACCTTCCACTTGGTAAGCCGAGGTGGCCGTGCCAAAAACAAACCCCGCCGGAAAGCTCTTTCTGCTCAGCCCACTGGTGTTGCATTGAACTAAACTACTTACAGTGCTAAGCGCCAATAACAGTAGCAACAATCTGGCCATCTTTGAAAAGAAAGAAAAGAAAGAATTGTAGCTACAGTTGTACATGCAGTGGAGGGAAGTATGAATGAGTTAGAAGGCAGGTTGGGGGTGTATTTATAGTATTAAGATTAAATAGACATATTGTAGGAATCTTTGTAATTATTGTTGTAGTCTGATCAGGTTATTACAATTACACATAACATATTGTAGTAGGAATCCTGTAATTCTTGTTGTAGTCTGATTAGGTTATTACAATTACACATATAACATATTTTAGTAGGAATCCTGTAATTCTTATTGTAGTCTGATTAGGTTATTACAATCACACATATAACATATTGTTGTAGGAATCCTTGTATACTTGTAATTCTTGTTCTAGTCTGATTAGATTATATGCTTTTGTGTGGCCAATAATTTTACTCCATAGTCAATTTAACTTGTTCCACAACTTTAGTGGGAAAAAATTATCCTCACATGCTTTTATTATGTATGCATTTGTGCCTTTAATCCTTTATTATACTTATTAATTAATTATTGATTTATTTTTATTCTAATTTCTTTCACTACAAAATAATTAAACGAAACTACACATTCCAAAATTATATTCGTTTCAATTACTAAGTATTTGATTCATTAATTTTGATTCTTGAACCAAATGCTCCATTATATTAGGTTTCTACAATTATAGCTAATTTGATTTTTTTTTTCACATCATTTTTATTTTTAATTCCTATTCCTATTGTTGGAATTATAATATTATAATATATATGAAATACAATTAGGACTAAATCAATTTTATTAGGTAAACTTTGTTTATAAATTTATCTAAACTCGTACATGATTATGAACTATATTAAGTATTAACCATAAACAATTATTTTAATTTTAAATCTTTTCATTAAAAAAATTATTTAAATTCATAATAACATATTTTTTTCCGTGCGAGTAAAACACTAGTAATAATGCTAAAAAAAAAGGGCTAAACAGTTAAAGCAAAGAACACTTTTCTTTTCACTCAATTGAATAAAGTTACCATTCTTACAAGTTACAATGCTAGCTAATATCAACACCTAATATATTTTTTTACAGCAAATTCACAGACCTGATGCAGAAAGAATTACAAGGCTATGAATCAGAAAAACATGATTACATCTAGGAGAACAGTCTATCAAACCTGGAATGAGCACCTTTGTTGAAAAATGACAAGTGACAACCATGAAAGATGGGGCACATGAAAAACAACATGATCCTCTAGCAGCTAATGTGATGGAAGGGAAGATGATATAGGCGGCAACACTCTCTTCAAAGCAGTGAATTCAATCAAAAGGACACTAACCCGGAAATCTGAGATAACAAATTCAAATAGCCAGTGCTCGTTAATGCGAATGCAGTGGATAGAAATTCAGCCACGCCAAGCCCTTCCGACTATTGGGAATTATTTGCCTTACTTGAAATGATCCTGCCGTATTATTGCAACAAATTCAGGATGCAAATCATCGTCTTTCTGCTTCCATATCTCACCATTGGCACGGACCACCCATGATATTTGAGGAGAAACTTGTGTGTACATATCTGCGAGCCATCAACAGTATTAGCAAATTAATCAATCATTGAAGATTTGCAAAAGCAATTTTACAGGACAGCAGTGGAGTTGTTTGAATTGATCACAAGAAACCAGTACAAGATTTGTTCATGAAATCTAAGGTTATAAAATGCTTGAATTCTTAAAAAGATTCCCTTCAATCTTAAAATCAGATCATATCATCAATCTTGAAGAGTACCTAAGTCAACAAGAAATTCTTCCCCACTCCCTCAGTCCCTCTAAAAAAGGCCTTAACCTGTAGCCTGTTGCTTTCCTAACTTATTCAATTTATCAAACTCCTCAGTTCTTAAGAAGTATTATAGCATGTAGTGTTTAAAATCGGGATGTACATCAGTACATACAAGGGAAAGATGACGGCATGGGGATGCTTTGCTTACCAGCAGTTTCAGAATAACTTTTGGAGATTTTTAATATTTCATATATGAATTGCTAAATCAAAATGGGGATCAAAAAATGGTCAAAGAACAAGTTCTATCTTTAGCACAAAAAGCTGCTATGCATCTAGTATACAAGTGAATGTACTGTACCGAGAGGAGGATCAGGGTCCCTAGTGCAGTGAAGAACCATTGTACCCGAAAGCACAGTCAAAAACCCACAAAGCACTGAAATAATGTTGCTAGCACTCTGACCAGACCAGTCCTAAAAAATAAAAAATAAAAAAATAATAATAATAAAAAGAGAAACAATTAGAATCTGAAAGTGTAAAGCCAACATTTTTCCAGGTTCCAAGGTATCAAGTTAGAAAAATACCTTAAACATTATGGCACTGGCTACAATTGTAAGTGATGTGAACATCGCATAATATATTGGAGAAACCACGGCTGTTTTAAATGTGTCCAAAGCCTGAAAGGATAGAGACTTTCAAGTCATCAGTTCTGAGAACATTTATGAGAAGGCAACAAAGTAGCCAAGAAACCTGGTACGCAATGGGGTCTACAAACTAATCTCTCAAATAATAGAAGGTTTTATAAGAGAATGTTGACGAATTATTAATTTCGATCACCAAAAACACTTAAAATCCTTCCAACACCTAAAGGCATAAATGAGAATAAAAGGGAAGCAAACATGATGAGGCTTAGGAAGAAATTGACCTTATTTAAGTAGTTGAGCTGAGAGATTATACACAAAACTGAAATCGTTACAAAAATCCATGTCTGCAGGTGTGCAGCTTGACTTGATCCTTCCAGAGTAAGCTTTATTGCAATGCCTACCGCTTTAATGCTCATTACCTGAACAACAATGAGTCAACTTTCCTTCCAGACATATAATTGTTACTCCATATTACGGAGTAAAAAATAACTACCCTTCTTCTAATTCACACATAATTGCCCTTTCATAACATAAATAGGTTTAAATATTTATACCTTAAGCGCATAGGGAAAATAAAAAATCAAACAAGTAGATGTATTAATTACTATTAAAGCTTTTTCATCATTTTCTGAGTACTGTCAAATGGTTTGATAGTAGAGCTTGCAAGATGAAAAAAACACTAACCGTCAATGATCCTACTATAGAACAGATACCAATATAGACCATAATGTTCGTTTGCCCATAGCGAGGCTCACAGTACAACACCAGTACCAATACTATTGCCATTGATGCTGCAGCATACAGAAGAAATGCTGCATGAAAGAAAATGGACAATTATCAAGGGAAATATTTCACACATCTATTACATAATTAAACTTAACATGGCAGAATAAGCCTATCAACTCACCCGGTTGTGTAGCTAAAGCCCATATCTCGTCCACTGAACTTATAGCATGTTCTCCAGGTGCATGAAGAACAATGACTGTAGAACCCACAACACATAAAATGCATCCTATTACTCCCAATTTCTGCAATTTTTCCTTCAGTAAGAAATGAGCTAGAACAGCACTGACAAGACACAAACAGAATACCAAATTATTCACTTGAAATATAAATAGTCATTGTAGATAAATAATAGGTGACAGATAGAAATACCTAACAATTATACTTAGAGCACCCAATGGTGTCACAAGTACAGCTGGTGCATAAATATAAGCTACAAAGTTGGCAAATTCTCCAACAATCACTGCAAAATTTTGAACATGGGGAGGAGGGTTAGGATATTTAATGCAGGTTTCAACGGTATTGATTTCACTTTCAGGAATTAGAGACTTACTGGTGACCATTCCAATCCACCAAAGTGGCTCAAGTAGATAACCATAGCCTCCGGTACCTGAATTAATGAGCAAATCAGCCACCAAAGAAGTGAATACATAAAACATTTTTAAATTGCTTCAATATGTACAGCTTACAGATGAATATGCACACACCCTGCATGTATCAATTGAAGTTGCAAGAAATAAATAAATAAATAAACAACAAATGAAGATCAAATGTGTCATTTTCTACTCTATTCAACTATCACTGCATAATACACCAGAAACTGTTCCATGATGGGGCTTGATCTGAACACATATTCCTCTAAAAATATGTTGACATTCTACACATCTAAAACTCTGGTTTTCATGTAGTTATTAATGATCTATCAACTTCAAGCGGACAAGCAATCAATTGTCACTCTACAATCTCCCCTCCTTGCCAAAGGGCTTCTAAAAAGCAGAATCCCTTTGAATGCTTCAGTCTAAATTTGGCATTATAGCTTCCTAAAATGAAGACCACCTTTACTACAATGTATTAACTCCAGTTGACTCAACAATTCCCACCCTTATTTTCCGACTGTCACTACAGCAAGTTTCAAAAATATAGTCAAATGTACTTAAGCTAAGAATTAAAAACAGCTGAGCAACAGACCAAGCAAGTGTAATAGTCAGAAAATTAACATAAATTCATATGAAGAAAGTGTACTTACTAGCTCGAGAGCCAGAGGCGCCGGCTCTCTGGAGTCCTTTCTTCTTGATGATGAAGCTAGATCCAATGAAGGCGCTGGACGCCATGGCCAACACAAACCCTATGAAATTTGCTCTGTACATATCTAGCAAATGACTTTCCTAGGGTTTATTCTACTACTATCAAATCAGGGAGGGATTCAACTCTCATCTGAACCTTCCAAGCATAGAATTTCAAAGCTTGGTTCCGGGCAGTGTATATGAGACGTCTGTGAGTGTGGAAAAACTTAATGAGGAAGAAAAAATGAGAACACAGGACAGCTAGCTGGGTTATGCGTAGTGTCAAAATTCAATTTCAATTTTAAAATTTTAAAATTTTAAAAATATTTTAAAATAGTGTGGGAAAACTTACTTTCTTATTATTTTTAAATTTAAATTTTGGTGGGTTTAATATTACTCTTTAAAAAAAAAAAAAATTGAATCTTACTGACTCTATTATGTTGTAGTATTTGTTCAAACATATTTTCTCATGCGAGTTCTTAACAAAATAAATCTTTATATTAAGAATTTTAATGAATGAGCAAAAGTTGAGAGTCAAGTAGTATTTTTCCTACAACTTCCATGTTCATATTATGCAATATAATATGAATCAAATGTCCAAAAACATTAAATGAAAATTGTATATTCAGTTATTCAATAAAATCTCACGTTCACATGAACTAAATAGAGAAATAAAATTCTAATATTCATACTACAAGAATTAGAGTTAATACCCATTTTGGTCCTCCGACTATTAGCTAATACTCGATTTAGTCCCAAAGTATTAAAAGTACCCAATTTAGTCCTCTAACTTTTAAAATCACACCCAATGTGGTCCTCCGTTACAATTGTCGTCTATCCACCGTTATTTTGGGGGTAAAGAAGTCAATTTACTTGGTCCAAACCCGTTTCTTCCTCTAGTTAACGTCGTTGGAGGCCCATCCAGCGATCGAGTCACTGCATGGACAATCAGAGGATGCTATTGGTGATATGGAAGGATCGAGAACATCCCCTGTTGCTCAGATTGTTAATTGGAGGTCGCCGGAATTTTCGAGTTTTGTTACGCGATCGGCGAGTTTTCGGTGTACAGAGGAGTTTGGCAATGGAACAGGCGATGGCGTGGGCCTCGGTGTGGTGGCATCTTCCTATTCGTCTGACTTATTTCCAAATCATCGGCCCTCTGGTGAGACCATAGCCCACTGGCGATGCTCCGTCTCGTGGTCTCGGATTGCGAATGGCTGGTAGTTCGCATGGGGGGGGGGGGGGGGGTCTGGTGGCTGTGGATGGGTCGTTCCCGGAGTCAGCACCACTTGCCACTGAGAGTGGTGGTCGTGGTCTTGTTGTGGAGGCTCAGCCGCCGACCCCGCGTTTATTGGAGGTGCTGAGCATGGTGGACTGGTCTCTACTTCGCTCCATGAGATTGCGCCTACTCTGTTGGTGAGCATGGTGTCACTTCATTTAAGGAAGGAATGTGCTTTATCAACTAAAATGACACTTATGCCCTTCAAAATAACGGTGGATAGATGGAAATTCTAACAGAGGACCACATTGGGTACCATTTTAAAAGTTAGAGGACTAAATTTGGTACTTTTAATACTTTGAGACTAAATCGAGTATTAGCTAATAGTCGGAGGACCAAAATGGGTATTAACTCCAAGAATTATGTGACATGATATAAATTAAATGCACTATAAAAGTTGCACTAGATGAGAAAAATAAGTCTACTAGATAAACTATAAGCAGTCAATGACATTATGGTCTAGTGATATAAAGTGACTCTTTCAAATGGAAGTCATGAATTTAAGTCACAGTGTAGCGCGCCGAATGAGTTATCACAAATTTTGTTATGTGAAACAAAATATATATGGAGTTTATATGTAAACCCATCTTAATAATTTTTAGTAAATTTGTAAATAAAATTTTTATAATTTTATTACAAAATAAAATATTTTTTATGAAAATAAATAATGAAAAATTTAGAACTTATTATAATTATTATATTTAAATGTAAGAATATTAATTATTTTAGTTGAAAATAAAAAATGGAGATTTGGATTAATTAAATGATATATAAGTTCATATTTATAATGTAAATGCGTAAAATTATTAAATTAAAAGTTTAGAACATTAATTAAAAATGTCAAAATTTTTAATTTAACCCGTCTATTTTAATTTAAATTATTTTAAGTCTAGCAGCCCTTAATTTTAATTTTTTTTTTTTAAAAAAAAAAACAAACAAACAAAACAATTAGTCCAAACCAATAAACACAACAACCTAATAAGGCTAACTCGAAAGGACTGACCCAATTAACATCCCTATAATATAACATTTGCTTGCATACATAATGGACCCACACGCCAAGTAACTCCAATGTTAAATATAATATGAATCAAATGCCCCTAAAAAATTATATAGAAATTCCATATTCAAATTTCTAAGGAAGTCTCACATTCAATTGAACCAAATAAAAACATAAAATTATAATATTCATACTACAAAAAATTATGTAACCAAATGGCCCGTTAAAATTATATTGGATGAGAAAAAACAAGTCTACTAGATAAACTACTAAACAAATCCAAACAATATGTAATGGCTGTAAATCCATGCTTTGCAACTAAATACAAGGAAGCATAATATAAGTAGGAAGAACAGATGTTCTAAAAAGACAGCATAGTCATATATAAACAGGCTTCACATCATTAGCTCCAAAGCTTGCAGCACAAACTGGGCATTTGCGATGGCGTGCTTCGATGACTTTTAGGATGCAAGGATTACAGAACAGATGGTAGCATTTTGTGATGACAACCTGAAACCAATCGCACATGAAAATATGAAATACACCACAGGCCACACAGGTTAAGGCATGGCAGAAGCAAATTCTTGTGCAGAGTAAAAATAAAGATCAATGTTCGATTCATACCTCCTTTCGCCTGTCATGGCATACACTACAGTTGAGTATTTCCTTGTATTCCCTCAGTTTCTGTTGATGTTTTTCGATAACAGATAACCCCTCAATTTGTGACCTTAAGCGTGTAGTCTTTCTCCTTAGAGCTTCTACATCCTCTTCTGCCCTTTTCCTTTGAAATCTAATTGAACCAAAATAAAGGGAAAGGGAAAGGAAAGATGGGTTGTTAGTTGCAGACTGTACAGTACCCGAAAGGACAAAACTTGATAAATCTTAAATTACCTTTCTTTCTCTAGATCTATCTGCTGGTCAGCAAGATCTACTCGGCTTTTATCAACCTTGGACTGGAGCTCTTCAAGTGCCTCCCGTTGTTGCTGGGATGATTTTTTAGCATCTATTAACCTCTTCTGAGAACTTTCCAAAGTAGCTCTATTCTGAACTCTATCTTCCGCAAGCCTCTGGACTTGGTCTGAGCATGTTCTTAACTGCAACGCAACATCAGTACCATTAATCCCTACAAAGCAAGAATTATTTGATGTACTACAAACAACTATGTATATATATATATATACCTGATCATCAATTCTGGCTGCTTTTAGTTCATAGAAATTGCAAGTTGTTTTGGTTTCTTGAATCGCTTTCTCCAAGGTTTGATTTTCCTTAAGTAAAGCATCCTGTTGCTGTCTTGCCCTGATTCCCTCCATAACAAGCTGAAAGGAAAGGAGATACAATAAGGTGCTAGGTTTCGTAGCATAATCTCTGACAGAATAAATATATGGGATGACCTAACACTAAGAAAGAACTATACTACCAACACTCCTGGGAATTTTTTGTAATTAATATGTAAATTCACACAATGAAAAGATATCATTTATCTACAATAAACATCCACATTGTGTGCACCTAGGGGCTAGGGCATGCATGTAGTCCATGACGCATGAAATTCATTGAGAATGAAAAAAGAACTATATTGTATTTGATAAACCATCTGTAACACATTTATCAATAGATCAATGTTTTGCTTAAATTACACAATCTGGAGAAAATAAAAGCTACAAAAAATTATATCAAAGGGAACAGAAGTATGCGACCAAAAAAATTTATATCAAAGGGAACAGAAGTATGCGACCAAAATACAGAGCAGTTTTAATTGGCTATTACCTTAATGTTATAGTCATCCCTCTCAGTGATTTGCTGCAAAAGTTGTTGATTTTGATTTTGCATATCATCGTAGGCTTGGCCAATTGTCTGATGCACACATTAAGTTTAGGTTTATTTAAGAATATTAATATAGATATATCCTCACATAAATAGACTTGTTATAAAATAAGAATTAAATTTATTTTATTTAAAAAAAAAAAAAAAAAAGAAGAAGAAGAAGGGAGGGGGTGGGGGTGGGGTGCAGTTGAATGGAAGTAGAAAAGTGAAACCTCAATTTCAGAAAGGTAGGCCTCAGTCTCCTCGTGTTTGGATTTCAAGGCTTCAGAAAATCTGGATTGTTCCCTGAAGAGGCAATAAAGAATTGGTAATCTGTTTGAACAAATTCTACCAACAAAATATAAATTGCAAGTGTTAGAATACAAGAATCATGTCTTATATAAAGAGTCATGTCTTTACACTTTAGGTTCCTTGTATATATACTCTGTTGTACCAGCCATTTGATTCCATCAAATTCATTGGTGGTAACTTGATTTCATGGAAAAGCAAGAAGCAAGATGTGGTAGCCATATCTAGTTCAGAAGTTGAACATTGTGCCATGGCTCTAGCTACATGTGAACTCATATGGCTAAAGCACTTACTTCAAGAGCTACAATATTGTGATCTTAGGCAGATGACAATATGACATTAATATGTGACAACCAGGCAACTCACATATTGCTACGAATCCAGTCTTTCATGAACGAACCAAAGATATTGAAGTTGTGATTGTCACTTCATTGGGAAAAGATTATGACAGGATTGATTACTACAAACCATGTTAACTCCACTAATCAATTGGGGGATATTCTTACTAAGTCGCTTAGAAGTCCTAGAATAAAATATATTTGTAACAAGCTTGGGGCATATGACCTATATGCTCCAACTTGAGGGGGGGGGGGTGTTTAGAATACAGAGTCATGTCTTTACATTTTAGGTTCCTTACTTGTATATAAGTAATATTGACTCTGTTCTACCCAGCCATTTGATTCCATCAAATTCAAGGATCTTTCTTTACAGCAATTATTATCCATTCTTAATACTGGTATAGTGGCTGATATAAGAACTCAACCACTTCCTACTGCATAGTTACATTCATATCTGTGTGTGTTTATTGGGGCATGTATATGGATGAATGTAGGTTAGGAAAATGTGACCTTAGTTTTTAACTTCATAAATATTAAAAAACCAAGAATGTATAAAGATTCATTATCATTATAAATTCTTTATTCTTTATAATCTGCAATTTATTAACAAAACTGGGGATACCATTAATGAATTGGAGAGAGACATGAATCACCTATAAAGTTTACCATGCATTGAGAACAAATAACAAGATTGGGCTTACTTTCTATGGCCAAAACATGTTAGATTGGATTTTCAAGTTCCAAATGAAAGCCTAGACATGATTACATGATAAGAAAATGCATCCAATTTCTAGCAAATTGTCTATTCACACTAATTCAGGAATTTTGAAATGGATATTAGAAACTTTACTAAAAGAGAACGCACCCTCCCGCGTCCCCCTATGGGAGGGATGAAGCAGCCCCAAAACAAAGGAATAAACAAACTGGACACAAGAAAATTTTATGAAGTAACCAAAAGGCTAATTGAAGCTAGGAGAGTACGTCAGTTTTCTGGTTTTCAACATTCTCCAAGAATTATCACTTCAGAACAAGTTCAAAACTACTATAAAATATTTAAAAGATGAAGAATAAACCTTTTAGAAACCTCCAACTTCTGTCTCAGCTCAGCAATCTCAGCTTCTGTGGCAGCAAGCTTTTGCTGAGATCTAGCCTCGGCTTCAATTGAAGTTTTGACTCGAGTTTCCAAATTCTGCTCATCAAGAGAAGTTTTTAAGCTCTGAACAGAAGCCCAAGCCCTGAACTCAGAGTCCCTGGCTTCAAGAACATCCCTGCATTTCAATTGCCAATGTTAGTGAGACTGGTGTTTCACTTTTGTTACAGAGAAAAATACTTTCATATGTGTATATAAAACATGTGTACAATGCCCTATTTATATATACTGTTAAAGGTACAGGTGGGTCTGGTAATTACTAAAACCCTACAAGGGCTAGGGTTACATTCAATATCTTTAAACAACAGAATTAAGGAGCAAGCAAATCAAGCATACTGCTTTGCAAATTGAGCAAGTATAACTTTAGCACTGCACATAAAAAAGAGACAAATAAATAACATAAAATAAAATAAAATAAGGTTACTCCAAACATCAAATATAAACATAGACACATGCATTAGAGGTCAAGTACTCAAATTCAATAGTCCAATCATGGGATTCATGGGTATATATTCATAATTCATATATGCTAAAGAATTACTCCGTAATAATTAAGAAAGTACCAGTTGACAATGTGACAATGTTACACAAAAATTCAGAATTATTTTGGAACGTACTGATCTAACAACCTGTGTATGGAGACCATGTTAACCAAGCATGCTTTTCCTACAGTATAGAATTTACCTTTAAGACAACTTCACATGAAACAATTAAGTGGTGAAATACAGCCAAACATTGAATCATTGATTACAATGTGATTGAAGTTTAAGCAATGCAAACATTGATGCAATTGAAGTTTTAAAACACAACCAAACATAACAAATTAGCAATCTCCACCATTTTAAATATCTCATATGCTACAGTCTAACTTTGAATTTAATCATTTCAAGGGAAAAATATTACTCAGATTATATAATACTATGAAGTCCACTCTCTTGTGCTTCTATAATTGGTCACAAGTGCAGCAAGATATCATTAATAACATTTGCAAAGAAATAATATACCACAACACTGCTTCCCACCCACCCAAAAATCCCTTTCTCTTTTATCTACTCCAATCTATCCTCAAAAAAAAAAAATAATAATAATAATAATTGAAATATATTCAGTCAAAATCATCTCATTATTTCGTGTAATAAGGTACCACAGATGGTTTTACCTGGTATAAGGGGACTCACGCCTGAACATGTCCAAAAAGAGATTAAGCTCCACAGCATTCTCCTTCAAATCTTGAACCTACTCCAATAAATCCAAGAATTGAAAGTCTCAAGAAACAGAAATAAATAATCCTGGAGATTAAAAGAAAATATAAAACCGGGAGAAAGATAGATTATGCTTTGGAATACTAAAAGGAAATTATAGAGAATATGTTACTGCTTTGAGGTCATGAACAGTTAATCAAATAGTAGTTGAACAGTCAAAAACTCTTAGAACAACAACAACAACAATAATAATAATAAACTGAAAGTAACATATGAGACTAATATAGACTACCCAAACCTAACTTCTAAAAAAAGGCCCTGCAATGAGGACAGAAACTTACTTCTATACCACGATGCTTCCAAACATAACTACATTAATTTAACAACTAAATCTTCAAGATGCATAAATAATGTTTTCCATCATTTCTGAAAAGCTCATCATGATGCTACAAAAATAACCTTGAGATAATACTGGAAAAGGCACAATCTGTAAATAACAAAACAAGCAAAAACCATGAAACCTAACAACTCAAGTTTTGAGATTCCTAAGTCACTGCACATCAATAAAAGCAAATGTATAACACTGTCTTTTCTTGAAGAGCTACCCTTTGCAGATATTATTGACTGTTCTAGGTTTTCTGGTTTATCAGGACAAGAGGAAGAGAAAAAAGCTAGGACCTCGAATTGCTTCTTTGGAGGGGGCATTTTCTTTGCCTTATTTGCACATTCTGAAGAATAATAGAAGCAAAAGAACAATTTACAGAGAAGAGGGGAGAAGAGTTTCAGTTTATAGGAAATCTGGAATTATTCTGGCTGGTTTTAGGATAAGTTGTAGAATTAATCCCTTATATTCTGTTTTATGTAGTAATGGTTGGAATATTTCAACCCTTGGAGAAAACCAAAAGGTCATTAAATTTCCATCCATTTTGGGCAAAACATCCTCTATATGTTTCATGCCTTACTGAAAAGATATTTTCAACTTGGATGTGCATTTTTAAACATTTGAATTTTATGCACCAAAAGAATCCTCACATATACAAAAGCTGTTATATGCCAAGCATCAATCAAAATATGATTGATTGGATGAAAAATTCTAATGAGTAGCAGAAATAAATCATACTATAGCTTGCAACTTCAGCATTTCAGTGTCCTGGGCAACGGATATAGCAGACAATTTTTCCAACTGTTCAACCTGAAAAAAATAAATTTAAGAAATATTTTAACCTACGGAATCTTAAAAAAAAAAAAGAACTGAAGAAAGAAAGATATCAGACCAACCTTCTGGTTAAGAATATTGGAAAGAGACTGAACATCAGCACGTAAAGAATGAACATTTGCAGCAGTTTCTTTGTAATTTCTTAATTGATTCTGCATACTACCCATTTCTTCTGGAAATGAAGAAACCAAAGTTTTGAATTCAGAAATAATTTCTTTCCTACCTGAAAAAAATGACACCAAGTCAGCATTGCCATAACCAACAAAGTCCAAATAAACATCAGCAGCAAATATTGTAATATGACTTAATACCAGGTTCTCTAGAAGCTTCTTCCAGCCTCATCTCAATCAGGTTTCTTTCACGTTTATGTTTCTGTATCTCCATTTCAAGATCATTTATTCTGGAATCAGCAACAGTGGAGGATCGATGCAAAACATCAAGTAAATCATTTTTCAAATTCATTTCTTTCTCCCTCCAAGAGAGATTGTCCTTTTCAACCTATATAAAATGAATTAATCTGTTACCAGCAATTGGAACTTAAAACAGGACCCCCAAAAAAAAAAAGAAAAAAAAAAGACACAGATGAAACTAGCAACCAGTAGCTACCTGTATTTTCTTATACATAGATTGATACTGAGCTAAATCTGCCTTAGTCTTCTCAAGTTGCTCTTTAATTAAGACATAAGATTGTGAAGAGCATATGTACTTCACATTCTTCAACATGTTCTATAAAGCAAATATCCAATTAAAGCCATTACTGAACAAAGTACCAAGGCACTCTCAGAGATTAACAAGAACTCTCATAAAAAAGGGAGAGTTGGAAAAAGGAAATCAAAATATTTCTCCAGTTAACCTGCAAGTTAGACAAATGCTTCAATATTTCTATCCTTTCCTGGTGAAGATCTTTGAGTTCTAATAGTCGAAAGGAGGATTGGTCCTGCAAGGAAGCTCAAGTCACTTGATTTATCAACTGCAATTTGACTGACTAAAATCAAGAAAGGAACAATTCAATATTACCAATAACTCTTTTAGGGTTGACTCCATGTCTTGCATATCTTTCTGTTTATCTCTGACCTTATCACCAGCCGCATGCTTATTACCAACGTTCAGGACTGGGAAAAAAGCCCCTTTTGTAACATCTTTCTCTGCTTTCAGAATTGCCAATTTTCTGTTACTCTCTTCCAAATCTGCAATTGTTTTCTCTAACTCCCCTAAACAAAAGTCACCAAAAGTAAACACAAGCTCCAAAGTACTTTTCCATGACAAATTAGGTGACCCTCACTTCAACAAAAGGCTGCAGCATAAATCACTAAATGGAAATATTTCAGAGATAATGCCAAGAAAATCTACTATTTATTAAAGTGATTAGACCCCCCACCCCCCACCCCCCCACCCCCCCCCCAAAAAAAAAAAAAAAAAAAAAAAAAAAAAAAAAAACTAGAAAAAGAAGAAAAAAGTGACAAAAAGGAGCCACTGATAATTGAACAATTTGAAATCCATTCCTTCCACTAATTTTAACAAGCAGAAAAAGGATGATTAGCCAAAAAATAAATGCTTTCACATGAATGATGAATCTTTTAACTCATTATTCTTCATAGATCCTAACTTAGTGGAACATTGAACATTTTTTCTGCTTTTCTAGAAGTAAAACAATCTGCTAAAAGCTCAAGGAGTTCCAAATGTTCAAAATTGTTCTTGTAGCTGTTGGTGGAAAACCAACAAATCTTCTTTCTTTCATAGGCGGTAATTTGACAGGGAAAATCCACCCTGCAATATACTAACAATGCTGTCTAAAAAAATTAATCCTCACTCTCCAAAACCACCAAAAGAAAATATTAACCAGAAATTTCAAGATGTGTGTGTGTGTGTGTGTGTGTGTGTGAGGCATAGCATAATGAGAGAAAATGGAGCACTCATGAGAAATACCAAGTGGACCAATACATTATAGAAGCATATATTTTGATTCGCATAAATGAATACCAAGGTATTTCTTATCAGCCTTTTAATCCCAGAAAACATCAATTCAAGGGCATGGATATAAGAGTCATGACACAGAAGCAAACATAATATTTAATAACCCCAGCAATGTCACCAAAAATCCTCTTTAAATCTCATCTAGTGCTTATGTTGTATTAGACTAAAGGCATTTTCTTGAACAAACTGAATTTCTTAGACATCATGTCTTCATCACAACCAAATAACACTTTGTTCTGCTAAATGATTGCTTATTTAGTATAGTAGCTCCGCATACTACACAGAAAAAGATGGTCAATGCAAACATACCTCTTAAACGCTTAATCTCAGCTTTATTCTTCGCATCAGCATCTCTATGGCTCTGCAATTCACCTGTCAATGTTATGTGCTTCACATGGAGTTCATTTAGAGTCTGCCTCAGGTTTTTAACTTCCATCTTCAATTCATGGGATGACTCTGCAGGGATCAATCCTGATAGAAAATCAGAAATTAGATAAAAGAGACAAGTAAAGAATGTGATTGAGTGGTCATAATCACTTAAGATTTAAACAAACGCACATGCAAATAACGCAACTGTGCATCGTACCATCATCTGAAAGTGACTTAAGAACTAAAGTATACAATTTATCCTTTATATGCCAGAGGTCATCAACAGCTCCAACTGCATTAGACACTAAGTCCATAGTCCTGTCATCATCTATTTTCTTGTCCTCTACCACTATAGATGTTGTATCAACGGAAGAGCTGCTATCCTTTTCATCTGTTTGTAATAGCTCACTCATGAAAGCATCACCACCAGCTGGTGAAGAACCATCTAGTAAACATAAACACGTTCAAGTTCACCGGGAATCAATTAACATGGCAATAACATTCACTGATGTCAAACATATCAATAGCATGATGATGAATGGTGAAATTGGTCCTATATGAAAATTAAGTTGTATTTACTACCATCAAAGTGGATTAAATCCTATTTCAAAATGTTGTGCTATCAACACTTTTGTGCCAAGTTCAATGAATGTTCTGAAGAAATCAATCAAAGATTAATCAACAAAATAGCAAAAGCTAATAAGACAGAGTTAATACAGGGATTAAATAGTACTCCGTATATGGCTAGGAGAACAAGAGAAATAGCAAAAAAGGCAAAGAGCTGGTGTGGAATACTGAAATCTCAGATTCTCAGGCACATAATGCGCCATAAGTTCACTCAAATTTTCTAGTTCTTGTGAACACTATAATACTATATTATGCAACATAAACAGAATTGAGAGATAATGAATGTAGGATGGCCTTCACTAGGATATCTAAGAGCTTTTTAGGGAGATGAAGAAGAGGAATATTAATGTAAGTATGGAGATATATGTGCTAAATATACCATGCGTTTATTTTCACTCCATGATCCTGGAGTTACCAGAGTATACAGACAAAGCACCCAATACATTTCTAATAACTACTGAGTAGTTGAGAGAAGAATGGAAGAAGAGCTCAACAAACCAACATAACTATTGAAGCAAGAAGGCTAAGAAATTAACAAGGAAGAACTAGGTGAATTGGGCAATAAAACAAGGAACGTCGGAAATATTAATGAATATAATGGAGGAAAGCCTAGAATGAAAGAGACACTCTAATGGGCTCTGAGATTTTGTTTTGTTTTATTCATTTTCATTTCTTTTCTGGATGGATGTTATAATCCTTGTGAAGTGGTATCATGGTCCTTCCATTCCTTCAACAAATGGGTTGAGAATGCTCTAAAATGAAATAACAAGAAACAAAAGAAGTATTACGGAGTATACTTAACCTTCTTGAGTAAATCGATCTTTATGCTTGATCAAATCCTTTAGGCAAATTGAGAAATCCTTTAAGTGATTTGTGCGTGCTTTCAGCTCATCAACCAGCTAGTAAAAATTAAAATCAGAAAGGGCATCCTTTTGAATTTCAGTATACACAGTACACATCATACAATAAAATAAATGCGGCAACGCAGCTTCTCAAACAAAGACAGTAAGAGCACAGAGCAATACCTCTTCCCACGAATTTTGGACTAATGACAAAGTGCTATCATAGGGTTGTTGTTTTTCCTTTTGTTCAGTAAATTTGGACTCAAATGCAGCAATCTCGATCTTCTGTGCTTCCAACTTTTGCGAAAGCTTTTGATTTTGATGCTGCAGCACAGCAGTATCAAGCTAAACAATCAAAACATCAAATTACTCCGTAAATAGAATATATGGCTGCAGGGACTGATTACAGCTTTACGGGCACTAACAGAACTTGAGACACCAATTTTCCCAGAACCGGAAATGAGACAGAATAATGTACCGAATTCTCTAGTTGTTCCTTGGAAAACTACATTTCAAATTTACCTCGGCAAACTCTAGAATCCAACAAACTAACAGACATAGCTGATCATCCAAAAAGAAACGAGAAAAATCTAACACCCAAACGATAGAACAAATTAAAGCCAACAACATTTCACGGTTATGATTCACACAGACTCTGAATTTTGTAAATGCAAACCCAAATTCGCAGAGTGAACTCGGCACGTCGGAGTCCACTAGTCGGTGACCCGGGCACGGCATGTTAGTTAAGACTTGGCTGATAATGATGCAGCAGGGCTGAAACAAAAGAAGAAAATCGAAACTCACACCTTTATAAGGGTATCCATCGAAAGAATAGACCTCCGACGAAGGTTTCTTTGCTATCTCCGGCAGGGTACTGTCCCTCCGACCGAAAAAGAAAATAAGAATTTCGGATTTTCCTTATTTATATAGCGGGACCGGTTAAGGTGCGTTTGGGAGATTGGCCGTTATGAGTAATATACATCATCACTCTCCCACTCTACATGTCATTTGGATTAAAAGTCCGTTTGGAACGCAGGAAAATGACTTCTGAAAAATGTTTTCTAAAAAATGTGTCATTTTCTTGAAAATAATTTCATTTTCAGTGCTTGGCTGCATAATAGAAAACTGTCTTTGTGTGTTTGATTCATTTTTCAGAAAATGAACAGAAAAATAAACACTAGGAACAAACATATTTGACTTTAAAAAAAAAAAAAAAAAAACAGATTTGATTTTTTTTTATTGTTTGGAATTTGTTATTTGGTTTGTTTATGATCTTTAGGTTAGAAGATTTTACTCTGATTTTGAAACCTAATTTGGAAGCTTATATCAATTTTTGAATTTCGAGCATTGACAGAAAAAGAAAACCTCAATTGTCATTGATGGCTATCGCATCCTCTAACCTTACCCCGACTGTTCCTCCTGCACTAAACGTTGTTGCCGTCGGCAGGATCAGTAGTCCCAAGTCTCAGCGCTGGACTCAGATGGTTGCCGAATCGGAATTAGTACCTGTGGCGGTGGTCCCTCAATGCCCACCTTCTCCTTCGACTAGTGTTGCTCAAGAGCACATGGGAAAGCGTCTCTGGTTGGGCAACTGGGAATTCGCCTCTGCCATTGTTGCATGATACTGCGAGTGAAGCTCTTCTGGTTGGGGGATTGTTGGCGCAGCTAGTGTTGGTGGAGTGTTGATGGAGGCAGAACTTCTCCAGCCAGAGGAGGAGATAACCGAATGGAAAATGACTTCCCCCAAAAAAGGGGAAGTCATTTTCCGGAAAAGAGGGATCATTTTCCATTGACTACATGTCATTTTCCTTTGACTTCTCTTTTCATTGCCTAGCCAAACACCAAAAACTCAGAAAAGAAATCATTTTCCAAGTTTCCAAATACACCCTAAATGCAATTGAAGATAGAGGGTAAATTGCTTCAATAGTATCACTTTTATTAAGAGTCAAAAATAGTGCCTCAAAGTAGAATTAACGCCAACCGATGCATGTAGTGCACGCGCCCGACTGGGCACCGTATGTGCACGAAACGCGCACATTTATGATTTTCCTCTAATTTTTTTCTCTCCTACAAGCTCACAAAAAAACTAATTACTTACAAGAAGACCGAATACATTCTCTCTCCTTCTCTCTTCACCACTTCATCAAAAACATCCCAAAAACTAGCTTAATCCATTAATGGAGATGCTCTAATTCATACCTAAGAAGGCAATATGGACAATAATCATAACTCCCTATTTAGATAAGAATCAAATTTCAACTATACGCTTTCTATTTCCATCTATTATGAGTCTGCACATAAATTATGTATGTGCAGTTAACATATTACGTACATTTAATTTATTTATATGTATATAATTTATTATTTATATGTGCATAATTATTAATAGAAGACATATATATTAATTATAGACACATAATATGAAAGTTGCTTTGGACCAAAATCCACAATGCAAGGTGGACTTAGTTCATGGTATAACAATTGCTTTCCATTCCTCCCTATCCTAATTTTTTAGGGGGCATTTGGTTCAAGGTAATCTGAGAAAGGTAATCTTAGATTACCATGTTTGGTTTAGGTAATCTGAGAGGGTAAATAATGCAAGATTACTAGCACGTAGGAAATGTGAGTATATTTGAAGTAATCTGATTATTAAATTTTAGTTAGGTAATGTGAGATTACTTTTCAATATTTCAAAATTGCCCTCATTTATTTCTCTTCAAGAAAACGTGATATGCTGCAACCGAGTTACAAAGTTCAGGACCAAATTATGGTTTACAGCACACAAGAGCCATACGGCTTCCTCATTTTATGCTTATTCTTTTTTTTTTTTTTTGATTATTATTATTATTATTATTATTATTATTATTATTATTATTATTATTATTATTATTATTATTATTATTATTATTATTATTATTATTATTATTATTATTATTATTATTATTATTATTATTATTTTTTTTATTATTATTATTATTATTATTATTATTATTATTATTATTATTATTATTATTATTATTATTATTATTATTATTATTATTATTATTATTATTATTATTATTATTATTATTATTATTATTATTATTATTATTATTATTATTATTATTATTATTATTATTATTATTATTATTATTATTATTATTATTATTATTATTATTATTATTATTATTATTATTATTATTATTATTATTATTATTATTATTATTATTATTATTATTATTATTATTATTATTATTATTATTATTATTATTATTATTATTATTATTATTATTATTATTATTATTATTATTATTATTATTATTATTATTATTATTATTATTATTATTATATTATTATTATTATTATTATTATTATTATTATTATTATTATTATTATTATTATTATTATTATTATTATTATTATTATTATTATTATTATTATTA